TGAAGACTTCGTGCATGTAGCATTGCAGTTGCTCGTTTACCTCTCACAAGATAGGTTTCGATGCCCCTGTGCGAAGCACAAGAATCAAGCATACCTGACACATGACGAAGTGATGTTGGACCTATATCGTAGAAGATTTAAACCCGATTATTGGTATTAGACTTCACATGGTGAATTGAACCAGATGTTCAATACGGTCATGCGGGAGCCTCATCAAGTTATGCTCCACCAACTGTTCATGATTCTGGCATGTATAAGCAAATAATTGATGATGCAAGCAAGACTCATTTTGTTGGGAGTGTTTCTGATGATGACCAGGAACCAAACAGTGAAGTGTAACAATTCTATGAACTATTAAATGTTGCCCAAAAATCATTGTGGGAATGATGCACTTCGCATGTAGAGTTAACAATCACCTTAAGAATGTTGAGTATCAAATCCGATTTTACCATGCCGAAGGAATGCTTCAATTAGGTAACAACAATATTAAATGAGACAAACCCTACTGATAATTTAGTTCCAGAAGATTTGTACAAAACTAAAAAGTTAGTAGCGAAGTTGGGGCTTCTATATGAAAAGATATAATTTTTCATAAACGGTTGTATGTTATATTACAGGGAGAATGCAAAAAAAAAAATAAAATGCAGATTTTGCGGTGTTGATAGGTTCTAACCAAGGAAAAAAAAGAGTAAAAACTATAAGAATATTCCTTACAAATGTTTCTTTTATTTTCCTCTCATTGCATGGCTCCAACAATTATTTGTTTCTATGTGCACAGCTCCCCACATGACATGGCATAATACTGGATATGTTAATCCTAGTACAATGACTCATCCCACAGCCGGTGAAACTTGGAAACACTTCGACCACAGTTATCCGGATTTTACAGCAGAACCACGCAATATCAGACTTGACTTATGTGCAGATGGGTTCACGCCTTACAGTCATGCTACAACACCCTATTTTTGTTGGTCAAATATTATCACGTCATATAATTTGCCCCTTGATATGTATATAAGTATGTCGTTCTTATTTCTATTGTTGATTATACCAAGTTCATATAGCCCAAAGTGTAAAATTGGTGTGTACTTACTGTCTCTTATAGATGAGCTACAAGTATTGTGAGAAATCGGAGTGTTTGATATTGCAATGAAACATAACTTTATCTAAGAGTTGCACTTATGTGGAGGATGAGTGGTTTCCCTGCTTATGGGATGATATCTATCTAGTTGGAGTATAGCCGGAAAATTAGTATATCCCTACTGCATAGGCACGTCTAAAGCATTCACTTTAAGGCATGGAAGAAAAAATTCCTAATTTGATTGTCATCAAAGGTTCTTAGCTCGTGATCACCCATTCCATATGTGTAGACACGACATGTTTCACCTTTGTGTTTTTACTTTTTTGTCTTATAATACATACTAATCTCGTTTATTAATTCTAATTTTTTTCCTGTCACAGATGACAGGTTCTCAACCTCCTGAGAGACCCAGCGTTCAGGGGACTTTGAGGAACACTTATAGGAAGCTGAAGAAGTTTGTCATTACCGCTGACAGGTACGGCACACGTGCAGCCACTCTAGTGACCTCTTTTGTTGCCCCTCCCTCACCAAGTCCCTCGCAGGCAGCCACCTCCCACTCCACCTTATTTCCGCACATCATCCTCCTACAATGAGCTAGGGCCCTCGACTTCAGCACCTAAGATGGCTAACACCACCGGCGGAGTCTATATTGAGTCGGAGGGTGACTTGTAAGTCAACTTTCTTTTTTATAGTATAGTAATTTTAATTTTTCATCCAATTTTATAATGTGCCTAATGAATCATTTGTAGTTTCTACCCCCTCCAGGCTGCCCATGATGCGAAACACGGAGATCATCCGGAGCAGATATGATTAGTCATATCTCTCATGGAAGCAGATCTTGTTTTCCACTCAGGATATGTATTGTAGAGAGTTTGAGGTATGATATTTAAATTTGAAATATAAAGTTAATTTTTATGTTTTTTATATGCTTATCAAGCTTACTTTCTAACTTGCAGAGATCGTTTTACTGGTTGTCGAAACATCACCAGCATATTCGGTAGATTTTTGAGGTTCGTGTCAGGCATAGGCTCAGGGATATGTTCACGACGACGCGTAAGAAGGGGCAGAGGTCCTCGTGGGTTGAGGAGAAGTCTGGGCTGAGTTAAATCAAGCATGGGCCCATCCGGAGTACCAAAGAAAGAGACTGACAAATCAGCAGAACTAGACGACAAAAGGAGTCAGAGGGGTCGCACTCCACATTGGAGTTTTGATCCCCCCCACACGAAGCGCTATCGGAAGCTGCTAAAATAATGTCAAAATTCAAAAGCTTGCATATTTATTTATGTAACTCATGTATTTATCTTATCATGTATACAGGCCAAGGAGCTTGACAGAAAGTCATCCACCGCAGAATTGCACGTCCTTACACATCAGCGCACGGGCACACAACAGTGGGTATCCGACCATTCTCGTTGTGTCAATGTAAGTTTAAAAAATGTAAATGTATTAATACGTCAATTAATGTTTAAAATGTCAAATAATATTTGAATTTTATTATGTCGGGGGAGTACGAGCAGCTTCGTACGAGACAGAGGGGATGGTTAAGCCAAACCTCACCGCCCAATGCGCAGTCCGATTTTGAGTTGTGGACGCAGACAGCGGGGAAGAAGGGGGGAGCGGAGCAAAGGGGATAGCGTTTGAGGCTGAGCATTCTCGAGAAGCTGTGGGTGGCCCTAGCTCATTAAAGGCTCGGCATGAGGAGCTTGTCAGGTGTGTGACGATGATGAAGGAAGAGCTCCAACAGGTGCGTGTAAGTCAGCAGCTCGTTGCAGATAGCCTAACACGTCTGACGAAGAGTTTTGATTGTCAGAGCAAGCGACACATGTCCAATCGAGCAGAAGGAGCAGAATGATGATGAGGATGAATATTAGATTTTTTCTGTGTTTGATGATATTCCCCCAACATAAGGACTAATTTTTTGTTTTTTTTTTGTTTCTGTATTATACAAACTTTTGGTTTCTTTTGTTGTGAATTCTGAGCATTTTAACTCTTTATATTTAATCTGATTCGATATTATGATGTGTATGTTGGAGATTTTTGTATGAGTTGTGATGATAAATAAATATCATATTATGTTGATTGTGTTTCTTGTGTGCAGGTATGTGAAAATCTAATTATTTTGTTGTTTTTTTTTTGTTTCTTACAGATTAGCGTCTGATTAGCGTAGAAAAATTCCAACACTAAAAGCTACAATCAGCTAAAGATACAAATAGCCGCTAAAACGACACAATAGCGACAAAAAAGTCTGGCGCTGATTAGCGTCGGATATGGCTGACGCTAATTAGCGTCGACTTTGTTTGATGCTAATTAGCGTCAGCTTTGTTAGAAGCTAATCAATATCGGCCTTTTTTGACTGTATTGTGTGGTTACGCCAGCATCGCTTGCATATTCGACAGTATTTTTTAGTGATGCTAGTTTTTTATGCTAATTCGAACGCAAATTATAATATGATGCTAATGTCGACGTAAAAAAAATTAGCGACGCTCATTTTAATGTCAGAAAAAAACCAACGTATTCTGACGCTAATCTAAATTAGCATTGAAAATTCTAAATTAGCATTGGAAAACGACCCGACTAGCATCAAAAATGTCCGATGCTAATCGGGTTTTTTTCTGTAGTGAGAAACTTAGCATAGAACTAAGGTTAGACTAACTTTGATACCAAATAATAATGGAACTAGTTCAGAACTCAGCATAAATGAAAGCAAAATTTTATTAAGCATGAAATTAGGGGTTACAAAACGACACAAAGAGGAAATTCAAAATAAAACAATACTAATCTTCGGCTAGAGCCAGAAGAGAAGATCTGAGAGCGGTGGTGGCGTCACCAAAGTGGTAAGAGGGTACAAAAAACCTGATGGTTGTATGGTAGGTTAAAAAGGGGTTCGGTGGGTTGCAGATGGGTTGGACAGCGATGATTGCTGCAGAGGAAGGGATGGCAGGGTGCGGGCCGAGGGAGCTGGACAGCAAAGGCGGCTACAGGAAAGGGAAGGATGGGATGCTAGAAGTTGGACTGGAGGCTGGACAGCAAAGTTGCGACAACAACAAGGGGGCGGCAGGACAGTTGGGAGGAGATGGGATGGCAGGCGGCTAAGTGAGGTGAAGGAGAAGTGGTAGGGAGGGAGATAGGAGAGGATACAACAACTCCAAGTATGATACAACCGAAGCACCACCCGTCATTGGATAACAACCCTAGCAAGGAGACTCCACATAGAATCTGAAAATAGTAATCAAACATACCCTACCCTAATTCAAGCAGCAAGCAAATAAATAGACTCCCATCAGGCAGGAAACAAGAAAGGAAAGTAGAATAGACAAAAAAGGGAGAAAGGGGGCTTGCGGATTTGACGCCCCTTCCAATTGTGGCTCGCTTTCGTAGGAGTTGTGATTGACCTCCCCAGATGTCGCTCGATCCCGATTGGGACCGGTCTCTGGTCCATCTGTCAGTCGGTTCAGCCAGCTGAACTCAGCCCCGCATCAAAGACAGCAGCATGCAAGCCATCAAACAGTATGCAAACAAAATTTTGCAAAGAAGGCACTAGCAAGGCAAATTATGCAAGGGTCTTTAAAGTAATCACGTAAATTAATATATCCTCAGGAAGGATGAAATTTTCTTGAGCAGTGTTAATATGTTCGCAGAATCAAACTACAAGCTGGCAATAACCCATCCTACCATTTAAAAATCACGAAACTTCAATTCAAAGATTACCATAAAAGCAGCAGATCATTACAATATGTACATCCAGCCAAACCAACTAATACTCTATTTGAAAAAATCAGAGCCAAATAACAACAAGTCTATACGTGATAAAATTCATAGATGATAATTTTTTCTTTAGAGAACCAACTGCAGCAAAGTAAACCGCCGTGGCTTTAACTCAAAAATTTTCAAGCAGCTAAAAAAATTGACAAGTACTTACATCCGAAGCAGCTCTATCGCTTGCAGACTTACCCTCCCCCTTGAGACTGGTTATTACATGAAAAAAATAAAGCAAATTCAGAATATAGTAAAACAAAACTTAGCATGGATAACACCAGAAAATAATAACATGATAGTAAACTATAATATCAGTAATATAATCATATAAAAATTCCAACTATATATATGTGCATCTTGAAGTGCATTTGAACCTCTGTGTGGCAGCTAAGGCACCCTTGTTGCGCGAATTATCATTTTCTGTGTCCGATGATTCATCAGATCCAACATCGCCTGAATGTGCAAATGTGTCAAACCAATGTGCAAGTGAGACAGTAGAATGATGTTTTCAAGACTGTCAAGTTCATGATTTGCACAAAAGTGAAATCTAGACAGCATAACACTTCATTAAAGGATGTTCACGCTTGTTAAAACTAATAATAGAACACGTTAACAGTGGATCTAAATAAAGTAGCATATAATGGAAGACACAATGAGCAGTACAAGAAGAAAAGGCCTAGCCCACTCCAAAATGTCTTAGGAGATGATATATAACTTAAGTACCATCATCATTCCAGTCATTCTGATTGTCTTTTCGCACTTTTGGTCGTTTGTCAATGATCGAATAGACAGCACCCCCTGAAAAAACAAAATTGGTGTTAAGTTTATCTGTAAACCAAGCTTTACAAATAAAGCTAGTTAAGCGCAAGACAAAATCAACAGGAACCACTAAATTGGTGAGAGGAATATGACCACGTTGCTTATTGAGAGTGAGACAGCATCACAAGAATGACTAGATAATAGAAACCTGTATAAAATCACTCCATGGCCTTTGGTTGATAATACAATACCTCTTAGGCGTTTCCTTGAATTTGATCTCGCCAGCTCAATGTGTAGGGTGGCTCTAGTCTCAGGATCAAAAATGGTTCTCTAAATTCAAATGTGATCAAAGTCAAACATATGAGTATAAGGAATAGCTCAACCAAAACATGAATTATGAAGATGAGATGATAATCAAGAGAGCATCAAATACCCAATCAACAAAGCTGAGAAATGAGGAGGAGCTATATTTCCTACTAATGACCTTTTTTTAATGATATGTCAAACTTATTTTATACTCATCCCCAACCATCAGTCACTTTCTCTATGCCACTAAGGAACTAGTTAATCAGGGACTAAAAATACTTTCAGAGCCTAAAAGCAAAGCATGTGACTTCAATGAATAAAATGAAATAATTGCATCAATATGGAGCAAAGTCATGCCAAAACTAAGCTTCAAGTTACTTTAATTCTGGCTCAATCTTAAAAATTTCCATTGTTAGTCCCAAGCCAAATAAGAATGATCAACTCTGGCGTTAGGATGACATCTAAATAGATATTGATGCTAAAATTCATGGATTCTAACATTTGCTTGCATGCAGGTGTTCCCCCAAAGCTATGAGCCATGATCTAACTCTAAAGTAGCTAGAAATTGTGGGCAGTGCTTATGTTTTTTTTTTTTGGATTAGGAAGTAAATTTAAAAACCTAGTTTCATAAAGTAATGATTTAATGCCACAAAAAAGCTTAAGAAGAGAGATTAATTATGGGGAATAATTTAATGGACATGCTAGTTATAATAAAATGAAGTATGAAAGGATTCATCACAAATGTAGAATAAAATATATAGCAGTTTATGCTTGATATCACAGTAACACAAGAACAAGTGATGGTGAACCTATTTTAAGAAGGAGAAGAGCAGTTAATTAATTTTAATAATACAAATACAAAATGTGTGGGTTATATGTTATATTAATATCAAAAAAACATAAAATTGAGTACCAAAATTAGAAGAAAAAAAAGGTTCATAAGTTTATTGAAGTTGTTAAAAGCATATACAATAGAACCACCACAACATTATAAGCGGTGTTGAATGGGCAAAGAGTTCCACTCATACATTTGAATTATGTCACCTCACTCGCATGGAATAAGGAGATGCAGGTAACATAAATCTAAAGTGAGGTGCAATGTTCAATTCAATATGTCATAATTCTAATAGGTAAGATATTTAGCAAAACTTAAAAATTAGAATGATAGAAAATTATTTAAGATAATAAACTCAGGATTTATATAACAAACACCAGTTATATAATATATTATCTTATAGATATAAATAAATAACTATCAAATAATATTATTGATAGATTTAATGCTCCTCTATTTTTATAAGTTTAAGGTGCATTGGATTTACCATACAAACAATGGAATGTCAATGAAACCATAAATTCTTCAATTGAAGGTAGGCGGTAAAAATAAAAAAGTATCACAGAAATACTATCCAATAACAGATCAATGAAAATTTTAGGTAGAATTTATAAAGTTACAAAAAAAAGATTAGCTATGTTATATTAATCTCAGTGTGGATCAACAAAAAAAGTCACAAATAGACAAGTTGAGAGTAATAGAAAAGAGAGAATGAAAATGTATGTGCAGCAAAACAAAGAAAGAGTGAGACACGAGTGTTTTGGAGAGATGGCAAGAATAGCACCAATTATAGATAATGAGAAATAGTGTTATATGGTGTGAGCAATATATTTTACTTAACTAATCAATTGAATAATGGCCCAGATAAAAATGATTATTTGTGATTCAAGAGAAGAAGAGAAGGATATAAACAGAGATAAGAAGAATCAAATAAAGAATGTCAATAATGATTCGTTTAACCAATACCCACTAATTGTATATGTAGAAGTTTCATGACAATTATAAGCGTTTGATACTCTAACACCATCCATACTAACATCACTCATCCTTGAACTCATGATAGAAGAGTTAAATAAACATTCCTATGCCAGAAACAATTAAATTAATCATTTTCTTTAGATTGTCACATATCATATCTTGGCATGCAATGTCAAATGGTGATACAATTTTTTTCCTTCAAAAAGCTTGCTCGTAAATAATGGTAAATTATTCCTTTGATGTAGCTTGAGTAAGAGATTCTTTATCCTTAAAGCACCAAAAATACATATATTGGAAAAATAAAGTCAAATGATTTGTATTCTCCCATAATATAACAAGTCATTATCACCACGTACCTCTATATAGAAATTATATTTCAAATGATCATCACTTATTTATTATCCTTATCCCAAAAAATTTGGATCAGCCTTATAATTTAGATCAACCTCATGAATCATCCCTTAATCATTGTTGGCAACTGCAACATGAGGTGTTAAACTCGATCTTACACTTGTTTTTGCACATCAAATCATTATATCTTTAACCCATGCCTCCCTTCTCAAATCCTCTATATGTATGCATTACTATTTCATCATTTATCTTCCACTATATTGGCACACATCACCTATGTCTACCTCCAATACCATATCATTAATAGGTGTGACTCCCACACTCACTAAATATTATCATTTTTCCTGGCAAATATCCCTGAACTCTTCCTCTATTCTCGTTTTATCGTTTTCACTATTGTCCCCAAATTTAAATGAAAAAAAAAGGGGTTGACGTTAAGTGGATAACTAATTGCAAACTTATACTAGAATTCATGAAAAGATTTCAAATTTAAATTTTATTGATTTTAGGACATTCCCAAAAAGTGCATGTCACAACTCAACCAAACTATAAAGACAAATAGTCAAGATTTTGTTAGGGCGGCACTCATAATTGATCTAACATAATATAATTGTATTGAAAAGTACGCATAAGTTAGCAAAGAAGTCATTAGCGAATGACACCACAGCTTAACCCAATAGCAACTAAGCGTGGGGCAAAGGTTGAATAAATTTAACTTATTAGTCTTATGCATAAAATGTGAAGATTTTAAATGAGATGAAAGAGAATTAGTAGACAAAATGATTAGAAAAAACAAAGGGAAAGAAATCTAGTAACATTAGAGAAGATTATAAGCTGCTGTAGATTTGGAGGGTTAATAATGGAAATGGAGTATGAATGGTAATAGATAGAAAGTTGAAAGAAAAATATAACTTTGAGAAAAGATAGATAAATTATTATACAAGTGGGATTTATACAAGCATGAAGATATTGAGAAAAAGATCAAAATCTTATGATGAAAAATTGTTAGATAAATTATTCTACAAGTGGGATTTATACAAGGATGAAGATATTGAGAAAAAGATCAAAATATTATCTTGAAAAATTGTTGGTTAAGCATAGTGAACAAATTATCAAGTCATAATATAAAATGATCCAATAAAATTGAAGTGAAGGGAACACTAACGAAGGTTCATAAAGGTTAAGCTTTAGATCCAGATGATAACATTTAGATTTATTGGATTATGAGTGTTACTAGTGTATTGGTTACCCAATTTTTTAACAAAATTTGGCAGCCAAAAGATACATATAATTGAAAAGAAGCATTTGCTACCAGTATTCAAGAACAAAAGGCCAGTTCGGGATTGTGGTAATTATAGGGAAATCAAATCAAGTCAAATAATAAAAATATAGGGGAGGATAATGGAATAAAGACTTAAAATTTTATGTAAATATCTTATAATCAATTTGGTTGTATACTTGTATACTATGAAGACACACTATGGATGTTATTTTGTGCTAAGGAAATTATTGGGGAAAATAATAGCAAAGAACTCTATCTAATTATTAATCTTAATAAGGCATACAATTAAGCATCACCGTTATTGATTATGCATGCATTAAGTAAAAAAGGTGTCAAAAGTATGTGGGAGTAATTGTAAAGTGGCCAAGTGTTCTTACATATGATAAGATTTATCCCACATATTGACATCAAGTCCATATGTTCTACATTACCTATGAAGTTACATTTTAAAAATATTCTAAAAAATCCCCTCCAAGTCAATGATAGCACAAGAAAACTTATATAGTTGGGTTCCAAGCGGTAGGAGGCAAAAAATATAAAACCTCTGAAAAATTAATAAAATATCACCAAGATAGCCTTACATCTAATGCCGCCAATGCAGCCATAGCTGAGTGATGATTGATGAACGTAGCAAAGGCAACCACCTGGCAATAAAAAAAATTAAAAAATTAAAAAACTCAAATTTAGCAACCACTAAGACACAACAAGGATTCACCTATCATTTACGCATACATATACAAGAATATAACATGTAACATCATAAAATATCTTAAATAAAAGACATTAATCCTAAAATGATTTAGAAAAAGGGTAAAATTCAATTCCTCTGTAGTTCATCCTTTTCATGAAAAGGCTAATGGTTTTTAATTTGTACGTAAATCCATTTGGTTTGGATGAATTTTAGAATATTCCCTTGTTATGAATTTATTAACTCGCTAATCATCTTTTTTTATTCCCTCTGTAGTTCATCCTTTTCATGAAAAGGCTAATGATTTTTAATTTGTATGTAAATCCATTTGGTTTGGATGAATTTTAGAATATGAATTGCTTGCTTGCTGATCATATTCACTAAAACCATCTAAATCATCTTTTTTTATTAACTCTTGCTTGCTGATCATTACTCAGTTTTGCCGCTAGGCCACCTCTCCTACAAGCTTGTTGGTTCAAGTCAGTCCACTTACACCATATCCACATGGTCTCACGAGAAGTCAGTAAAACTTGATGGGATCATGAGTTCACAGGATCCTGCACTCATTTACAAGATCACAGCAAGATTTCAAGTCTTGTATAGGATCTCAAGAAAAAATCGTCCAAACAGGACTCCTTTTTCCCTTTACTGTTATTAATGCTCTCCTGCTAGCAGGCACCAAAAATACATAACAAACGTGGCCTATATTGAAGTTGTTCGATTAGAATAGCTCCTGTGGTTGGCCATCAAAACAGAAACTATGCTGATTTGTACCAGACTCTATGTGCATATTTAGATTGCACTTAATCCATAAAATCATGTTGGGTTAGTCATGACCTACTTGCCATCTAAATATAGATGTCAGGGTTGCACCCAGCCCTGAGACGGCCCACTTGATTGGCCTATTTGGTTCTTCGTCCACATATTTGCAAACAACAAATGTTCTTCAATGATTTACATGCATATCACTCAATTCTAAAGTTCAATTTATATATATACGCCATCATCACTATGCATGAACACGTGTACTTTACCTTTTAAAAGTTAAAGCAGTGATATTTATGTGATATAATAGATTTGTGCAATATAAATGTAAAAGTATAGTTTAGGTGTTAAATATGTAAATACACATAAATTGGATGGTATGTATTTAAAAAATATAGTTTAGGTGTTAAACATATAACGTGCTGCTGGAAACATCGTAAACCCACACAATTCCACGAGAATCACGAGAAGCCCCGTGATTGTCGGGGCAAAACCAAAGCCGCCCATTTTTTTTAAATTTCGACAGATTTCTTTACTTTAGTATTTTTCCTAGTTCTCTAATTCTAATTAGATTATTTTCTATTAGGAAACTTTTATATATGTTGTATTATGGTTATTTTGAAACTTTAGATTAATTTTATGCAAGAGATTGTATTATTTGATTTTTGTCCTAAGGAGTGTTGTATATTCCTTTTGCAAGTGCCTGTAGCTTGTTCAGGAAAAAGTGGTGAATCTCCTCATCATTTGTAGATCATCATTTCATGTTGCCTCCGCTATTTTTAGTCAAGTTAGCAGCTGAACATCATATATCCCTTCCAAACGTCATTGACCTCGCATATTATCATTCTTTCGTTATTCCCCGGCCACTTTTCCACAAAATTCAATTACTAAACACGTTATGGGATCTCCCTAAAACAACATCATCAATCATCAGAGCCCGACAAGCCATAAATTCTTTTAGATTTGTCTTCCTTTGCTCCCAAACCAATTTCCATACAACATACTCTAAATCTTCGACCAACTCAGCACCCTAACCATTTATACCACAATCCTTAATCCAAACCCTAACTTTTCAAACGCCAAACTTTCTACCTTAACCAAAAATCCACCTCGACGCCTATTACCAAAACCCGAAGCGTCAGCTAACATTTGATCTACAACCCTAGACCTATTAAAACCCTGATTAGGAGAAAATTACACAATGGTGCCCATATGAGGTATTCAGGAACTCATTATGGAGGATATGCAGCGAAAAATTTTTTCAATTGGAGCGGAGGCTTACTGCTTTCGAGAGAAAATAATATGATGAAATCACCCATAGCAATAATGGTGGCCACCTAGATGAATAGGATGAAGAAAATTCTTTCCACCAAGAAGTTTTAAGTAATGAGGTGCAAATGTCGTGTCTATTTGACATTGAGTATCGGAGGATAGAGAGGGTGACTTTGGAGTAAAGAAAGATTTAATGGATTTTGATAATCACATGGAACCAAACGAGTTCATTGAGTGGATCCACACAGCAGAACGGGTGTTTGAGTGTAAGAACATTCCACTTGATATAAGGGTAAAGCTAACTGATATTAAATTGAAGTGTGTGTCACTGTAGTAGGAAAATGTGAAGCGCCTACCCCAGCGCAAGAGAAAAAGCAAAATTACTACCTAGTCTAAAAAGAAAAGAGAGATTCAGTGATGTCTACTAGCACATTACAGACATAACATATTCTTAAAACTTCGGTACTTATAGTAAAGATCTTTTAATAAAGGAGTACATTGTTGAATTTGAGTTGCTTATGTAGATGTGTGAACTATTAAAGCCAGATAAAAACATCATAGCTCGATGTCTTGGGGGATTAAGACCATCAATTGGCAACAGAATACGATTACAACCTTATTAGACATTACATAGCGTCCATACCCTAGCTATGAAGGTGAAGAGACAACACAGCAGCATCAGGTCCACACCACCTTTCATACAAAATACACCTTCAAATCAGGTAGTAAGAGCAGCAGATGAGGAAAAAATGGTTGACCAGACCAACACTCCCGAAAGAACTTCAACCAGAAAATGTTCCAAATGTCAAAAATAATGGCACATTGCATCCAACGGGTACCAAGAGCACGCCAGCCAAAATACCAAGACTTAGCCCTCATGAAGAAAAGCCAGCCTAAGAGGAGGAAAAAATGGCTGACCAAATCAGTCAAATTTCATTAATACAAGCCCGTTGTACTGTGAAGGGGAAGATATGTAACCTCATTACATTTAGAGATAGTTGTGAAAATATGATATATGCACAAATAGTAGACAAATTGAATCTAACTAATCATAAACATCTCAACCATATTCTATGACTTGGTTGAATAAGAGAAATGAGATCTGTGTCGACAAAAAATGCTATGGTAGAATTATTCAATTGAAGACATGCTCCAGAACCAAATGCTATATGATGTTGTGCTTATGAATGCTATCATATTTTATTGAACTAATCATGACAATTTGATAGAAGTACACTTCATGATGGCCACAAAAATATCTATAAATTTAACAAGGTGAGTGTATTGCACTTCTGTCATTAAAGAAATCAACAGTGATGAGTACTCAGATAAAGATAGGAGTTGTCGTACTCGTGCTGCATTTCTACAAACTATGAGAGAGACGTTAGTGGAACTGGCCTTGGTGATGCTAAAAAATGGTAAGACGAAGAAACAAATACATGAGGCAATGCAACCGTTACTAGAGTTTTAGGATATTCTTACTAACAATATGCCACTCAGATTGCCACTTTTACTAAAGATTCAAGATGTTATAGATCCTAGGAACAGTGCTCCCCAATCAATCAACCTACTGGATCCAACTAGTAGAGTATAAAGACCTAAGCAGTTTGAAGAACTAATGATTCGAGAACTACCTCATGAGAGCACATGTTCTTATGTTGTTCCAGTTTTGATTGTGTCCAAAAGAGATTGATTGTGGAGCATGTGTATAGATAAAAGGTCAAGAATAAAATCACAATCAAATATAGATTTTTTATTCCAAGATTAGACGATTTATTTGGTCAGTTGCATGGTGTTATTATTTTCTCCAAGATTGATTTGGGCGGTGGATATCACCAGGTCAGGATAAAACTAGAGGACAAATGAAAGATAGACTTCAAGACACGAGATGTATTGTATGAGTGGACATTCATCTCCTATGGTCTGTCTAATACACCGAATTTCATACAGCAGATGACCCAAATTTTTCCAACCTTCATTGAAACATTTGTGGTTATGTATTTTAAGGACATTTTAATATATAGTAGTTCAAAGAATGAGCACTTACAGCATTTGCGATAGATTTTTGAGATTCTTTGGACATAACAGTCATATGATCATTTGAATAAGTGTCATTTTCTTAAACCACAGACATGTTTTTTGGGATTCATTGTTTTGACAGGGGAGCTTATCGCATATGCGGTACTGTAGCTACTACTGTAACGCGGGATTTTGCAATTGTAGAAGACGGACTGAAACAATCATGTTTTGCTTTCTTATGTTTTATTTCCAATTATTTTGCATTTCATGTTAGCCTTTATATTGGCTCGAGAGAGAAAGACAAGACGAGTTCTGCATCAAAAGGAAAACCGATCTCGAAGGAGAGGGATCGAGCAGCTAGGGAGGAGACGAGTGCAGTAGTAACTGACCTCGAGCGTGTTTGCAAAGCCAAACAATGAGAGAACGAAAACCGGAATTGAATTAATTAAAGGATCAGCAAGATTGGATTATGCAAAAGAAGAAGTGAAAGAGGTTAGATTAGTCTTTATTTGGTAATCTTTTAGTCAATTTAATTATAAATTGCTACATATTAATGTTTGGATATTATGAAATATAACGAAGTGAGAAAATTGAAGCTTTGAAAGAAAAAGTTTTGAAAGGGATCATTTCTTAAGTTGAAATCAAAATGAGTACTTAATTTCAAGTTATAGTAGATTTTGTTTCTTCTAAATTGAATCACTACTACTGTAACGCGGGATTTTGCAATTGTAGAAGACGGACTGAAACAATCATGTTTTCCTTTCTTATGTTTTATTTCCAATTATTTTTCATTCCATGTTAGTCTTATATAAATATAAATATAATATATATATATATACAT